TTTTTGCTGTTTTTCCATGTCATGTTGTCCTTTGGGTTATTGTCTGGTCCTTTTCCCTGTGTTTTCCTCTTGTCATTAGTTTCCCTGGTGTGTCTAATTGTCTGATTATGTTCACCTGGGTCCCTGTGTTTTCTCCTCCCTCCTCACCTGTGTCTTGTTGTGTGATTGAGTCTTGTGTGTATTTAAGTTCTGGGTTGTCTGTCTGTCTTGGTCGGTTCGTCTTTGTCCCTGACTAGTTCTGCGGTGAGTGTTCTGTTTTGCCATTGTGCATAGATATCATAGCCTTGAAATAAAGGAAGTTTCAGTTGATATCTGCATTTGGGTCATGCTTGTTTCACAAACCGTGACAGCTAGCTTTTGTGGTTTGAATGGGGTCAGGTTTTGTTATTTATGAATGGGGTCTATGGTCTAAATTAGGTCTTTGGGTGTTGTTCGATCATGTTTGAAGACATTTGGGTACAAATATTTGTTAATCATAATCACGAAATATTGTGTGTTCCTGTAGCAACCCATTTTGCCATAAAGCTGATTGAGAAACGTTTCAGGGTCTTTAGGAGAAATCCCCAAAATGTATGTACACATTTTTATGAACAATTCAAACATGTTTGTGCTCTCTTTACCAATCATGGGTAGAATGGAACGTCTCATATTATGCAAAACTCGTGCATTAATGGATTTTAAACAAATATGTATTCCTGATTAACACATTTATCTGATTTACAGTCACCATCGTTTCCAGATAAAAGAACAGATTCTAAAATATTGAAAGGCCATGAAACACAACATCTGAAACAGGATCAGCTCATTTGTAGCTGTTATACCTCTTGTAGCAATAATCAATATACATAAGGACATAGGTCATATATGTAAATGTACACACAGGTGACTTTTTCTTGAGAACAAGTCAATTGGTTGTAGTCCTTCCTTTTATGCTTTATTCTCTCTGAATTCTCTCCCATTCGGACTGCTTGTAATCAATTGATCCTGGGGGTCCACCTTTTTTTTGAACAAACCAGATTTTGCTACGATCAGGCATCTCACTGCTGTTGGTCCTTACATCTGTTCTCACTGCAGCCCATTAAAATCAGGTTTCCAGTATTCTTTTAATCTCATCACTATAACCCTATAATGAGAAACCCATCCAATAGGTTTAGACGAGTATTCGTGTCAAAACCTATTGGATGGGTTTCTCATTCTACTTACTGTAAGCCTCACCTCCCTATTAACATATATATGATGTCTATATATGGGATATAACTGCCACAGACTATTCACTATGTCTTTATTTAGAAAAAAGGTATTTTGTTGCTTGTGGTTTGTTTTACTGAGTTGTTTTAAAACCAGTGACTTAAAATATGCAGACAACTAGGTGCCCTAAAGGCAACCACTAATTACTCACCTTTGCAATGAAGCCATGGAGAACCGGATGCAGTAAAAATGTGCACAATAATACAATAACAAGTTCAACTATTCAACACATTTAGACAAGTCAGCAAGCAAACGGAAGCATCAAACTCAGGCTGAGATATACTGATACCATTTTAAAAATACATGCGAACAAGCAGCTTGTCCCGTTCTCTCATTTGCTGTTATTGTAAAAGTAAAATGATTGCAAAGAGTGTTCTGTTAATTAACAACTAATATGTATTTTGATTTTGTTTTGGTTGGAGTGGTATCAGAATCAGACACTCATATGTTTTTTCTAGTTTAGCCTACCAATTAAAAAAAAGAGAATTTTGAGAATCCTCTCAAAAATGTCAAATTCATCATTTAATCCAAAAGTGTTCAAAGTTGGAAGTTGGCCTCCCCAGGTTGGCTCCAATGAGTTTCAGTGGATACAAGAGAAACTATATTACATCAGTTACTAAGAGAAGATCACAACAAATTGTCTAATGGCGCATTTCCACTACACGGTTTTTGGTTGCGTTTCCACTTGGCGTAGTATCAGCTAGCGGGTACTATTTCACAGTTTTTCTGGCCCCATAAAATCGAGGTTCTTAGCGGGCCAACAACCAGGCTGAGTCGGGCTGATATGCTAAACTAGAGAGAGAATCGCTGGCAAGGGGGCTACAACTACATTACATTATTACATTACATTGCATTTAGCTGACGCTTTTATCCAAAGCGACTTACAATAAGTACATTCGACCAAGAAGATACATCAGGTTTCATCGAGCCAAACATTTCAAGTGCTACTCAACTGGCTTTAGATAAGCCAGTCCTTTATTAGTAGGCTATATAAGTGCTTTGTTAGTAATTCAATCGCTCGAAGTGGAGTCGAAAGAGATGAGTTTTCAGTCTGCGCCGGAAGATGTGCAAGCTATCTGCTGTTCCGATTTCAATGGGGAGCTCATTCCACCATTTTGGAGCCAGGATAGCAAAACCACGTGTTTTCGATGATGGGAACCTCCTCGCAGTGCTGGTGGTGGAGGTTTTTCGAGTTGGAACTGTTCTGACTTGACGAAAAAGGCGAAGGCCCTTTCTCTAACAGGGTGAGAACTCGGATGTGTACGTTGTAGCCGTGGTAGACAACAAACGGGTCTGAGTCTGACGTTCCTAGACCCACACTAGGATCTATTGTTGTTGACAGGAAGTGACGGTTTGTAACGGACGAATCGTTGGGGGGACGACGTCGTCTATGTGCGGAAATTTGTAGTCTCCTCCTATGCAGGGGTGGACTGGCGTCTTTTGTTGCGTCCAAGAAGCAGGCCGAGAGCAGTAGAGTGCGGATCTTATGACTGTTGAGGGAGGACCGCCCAGATGGACGTACACGGTAGGCTGGAGACGTCGATGTAGGTCTTACGTCGGCCGGAGCGGACCAGAAAGTTGGAAGGTTTTACAAGGGGGGTGGTGCGGCGATGGACGGCGAGTGAAGTGACCGAAGGCCATGACGATCTTAGGTGAAGTTCTGGACCATCATGAACGTCCTGGTACGCGCTTTACCTAGGACCAGGAAGGATGTAGGTACTTTATCAATTTGACATGTTGGTCGTGCACTGCGAGACGTAGTCGGTTTACGNCCTCCAAGAAGTCCCCCAAGGCGCCTGGTGGAAGGTAGAGAACAACAATGGTTAATTGTATAGGATGGGTTACTGTGACGGCATGGAATTCAAAGGTGGAAGGATTGAAGTTAGGTAGCTTGAAGAGGGAAAAGCTCCATTTGGGAGAGAGCAGGAGACCAGTGCCACCTCCTCTTCCAGTGGCTCTGGGTGTACGGGAGAAGGAATAATGCTGTGGAGAGAGCTGCTGGGGTGGATGTGTTGGATGGAGTGATCCAGGTCTCAGTGAGAGCAAGGAAATCCAGAGACTGCAGGGAAGCGTAGCCAGAGATGAAGTCAGCCTTAGGAACAGCCGACTGGTAGTTCCACAGGCCCCCTGAAACTAGATGTTGGATCTCAGTGGAGCATGTGGGATCGACGAGAGCAGGCCGGTTATATTGATTAGGAGATACACCAGGCCAGTGATAATTGCGAGAAGACACATGAACAGGAATGGAGAAAATACACATGATTATAGCATGAGGGGCAACAACAAAAAGAAAATATTTGTCCGTGATTTAATTGTAATACACGTTTCAAAATTATGCCGAAGTAACAACATACTGATACCGGTTAGTAAAAACCATGAATTAATGCTTTGACAAGTCTGCAGACAAGACGGCAGGCGAAAAACCTTTTAAAATGCGTGTTTTCTTAATGGAGATCAGCTAAGCTAACGCAATATATGCTCCGACCGTCCACACTCACAACAACGGCCTATACAGAAATAAATAAACCAGCGACTGTATTCGCCATGACACAGACAGTCTGTGGTTTGTCCTTGTTTAACTTTTGTCAAGTTTCTGAACAGATATGAGGAGCTGTGAGCTTGAGTGCTAACAGCTAACGGCTGATGTTGTTTTTCTGTGGTTCTTATTGAAGATGACGTCACGGCTCCGCCTACACTGCGTTACTATAGTTGCGGCCCCTACACACGGCAGCGTGCGTTGACGCTTCAACGCTTCTGCCCAACTTCAACGCAACGCACGCCGCCGTGTGTAGGGGCCGTTACGCAGCGTCCACATGGCGGCGTGCGTGAAGCTTGCCGGCGGGCATGTCTGACGCTCGACCAACAACCAATCACATGAATCTCCCACCCAAGACACAAAAGCAGCAGTTTGATTGGCTAGAGCTTGTACTGGCATATGATTCGATTGGCTGACGCTTCTGTTGAAGCTTCAAAAGTAGAACATTGCTCTACTTTTGAAGCGAGCAACGCGAGAAAAGCTATGCTTTGCTCCCACAATGCAGTTTGGCGAAGCATGACGTCACCCCATTCAAAGTGAATGGGCAGAAGCGTTGAAGCTTCAACGCACGCCGCCGTGTGTAGGGGCCGTTACTGCCCCAGCTACTAAACTGTAATGGAAACGCAGCATAAAGTGAGCCAGTCCTAAGAGGCCTAACAAGGCCCAACTATACCGTACTAAGCCGAGCGAGGCCCTGCAATGGAAATGCGCCATAAGTTTGGGCAAAAATATGTTTTGAGATATATTAATTTTGGATAATTTACCTTTTTCCCACTTTCCCAGAGATATAAATGAATAAATGCCTAAGGACAGATTTGTATTAGATGTAATGGGTGCTGTCGAACAGCAATATGAGGCTTTCTTTGCTCAATTGTTGACTGTCAATGGGATCAATTATCATACTCCTGATCCCATTCATGCGTACTGACTGGAGGTATTAAACACGGTCCCCCAACACAGTGTCCATCCATTAAATCAGTGCCTGACAAAAAGAAATGAAACACAAGGTGTGGGATACAACCTCTTGACACGATGTTACTACATGTTCATAGAAAAAAGAATCCTCCATCACAACATTACCCTTTGAGTCGAAACATTTTTTTAATTCTTACCGTTCAGCACAGATATCTGGTTAGTCCTGTTGGTCTACGTCATAGGGAGCCGCCTCAAATCTGTAAGATTGAAACTGACTGAACAGCATTTTGCAGAAACATAATTCGTTGGACATCATGGAGGCAGGAGCGTTTTACCTGCTGCTGTTGGCTTTGACAGGGATTTCATCGACGCTTAGCTTTTATGGAGATAGCATTACTTTCCAGCCTGCACATAAGCAGAGGGATGGGACGTACAAGGTATGTATTCTTTTTAAATCACTATCTGCCTAAAATAGTTATGCTGTAATATATTGTAATATAGAACTGCAAATAAATCATAAAGTTGAATGCTAGAGGGTTACTTATTTGAGAAGTCTACGGTAACAATAATTGTATATCATCATCAAGTTTTGCCTTTAAAATAATTCAAATAAAGCATATAATATAAGGGAACTAATATGGACTTAATGAACCTGTGTGCTTCATTAAGTCCATATACAAATATTTTTTAACAGTTGCATCTCAAAATGTGTTTATTGAACATGAGCTTATTAGAGTGTGAAAAACCTGAAAGTCAATGATATCTGTTACGACATCTTCAAAGTATTCACTGGCTTGACTTTGAGGGATTTTTTTTTTTGGTGGAACCTGCTAAGTCCAGCAAACAGTACAAAAATCTGGTTGAACAAACATGAACATTCTTTTCATCCAGTTTTCTCAGTTTCACCGAGTTAACTGTCTACTATACGTGGTATCAATGCTGTTATTTCCCCTGTAGGTGACTTTTCATCACAGACAGAATGGCAGAAGCAGCTGCCAGGACAAGCCATTGCACACATGTGAGAGTGAGGTTTGCACGAGCTTCGTAGAGTCCAGTTTCCTACAAACGGACCAGGATGATACGGGCCAGGGCAGGTGGTGCCAGTCTGAAATGCACGCAACAGCAGCCGTCCGGAAGAATCAAACATCCTTCTCTCTGAAGTAAGCCGAGCTCACAGCAATCCAACTACTCTGACATCATACTTCCTGTGTTTCAACTGTGGTTGTTACCCAAATGCCTATGTGGGACTCAATGATAGTCAATGTGTAACACTGCATAAGTAAACCAAACCTAAGTAATGACATTAAACATTGCTGTAAAGACATTTAAAAAGGATGAGGAGTGGATTCCTTAAACAGAGCTGAAACGCACAAAAACGCAGGTTACACTTACATTTTGTGTTAATTATAACCTTTAATTGTACTGAACTTCTGAACAAATTCCTCCGACTTTCAGTCAAATCATACGGAAAAATGCCATGAAGAAATATAAAAATATAACTTAGACAAATAGAAATAACTTAGATTTGATTTGTATTTATATATTTGTATTTTTGAAAATAACATAACAAATTACATTGAACTGAAAACATTTTTAAATGAATACTGGAATAAATAATGAATTCCATTTTTCTGCTTTGATTTCACAGTATCATTAGCCCTGGCTCACTGCCGTTAATGTAATTAGCAACACTGTGTGTTTCTGAATATCAGTGATAGGAAAAGCACAGGTTTTAATAATGAACTATTCAAATGTTAAGTAAGCCAGCATGCCACTAGGAACACATATTTGTGTTTAAAATCCATTAATACATGAGTTTTGCATACACCAGGAAGCTGAACTCAAAGCAACTAAATGGTATTCAGCCATCAGTCACTTTATTTCTAACAGCTAGGCCTTTGTAGTTGTGACAGGTCAAAATGTCTTCAGTGGAAAAAGGCCTATCCCCTGATACACATTCTTGAAATGGTGTCATTTTAAAAAACATGATGGCCTACACACAAGAGTCCTCGTCATGTTTAACATATATGGGTTCTGTAATCGTCAGTACATATGTATTTTTAGATTTGCCATGGAAAAAAGTAATTTTTTTTTCTAAATCCAATTATCCAATTGACTCCCTTTATTATTATTACAACATGTGTACACTTGTATTTGTTTCATTTCAAATATGTTGTTTATAGGGTCCAATATTTTGTATGTAAAAATATGTTTTTGTTTATTTTAATCTTCTGGCCTATCAGTGGCATAAGGAACAGAAAATATCAAATAGCTATGCTATGAGGAAATGAACATTGCCAAAAGGGTGTGTTTATGTGCAGGGATCAGGTAAACAATGACAGAGCTGTTTTTGAAACAGTTGATGTGGTTTCGTTTTTAGTACTTCCAAGTTGCATCAATGTATTTCAGATTGAGAGCACACTGTATCTTCTTGTCTTCAGCCAATCAGGCTGCTGCTGGGGGTCTAATGTGGACGGAAAAACTAATTGGACGTCTGAGGCAGAGTTGGACCTTGGAAGTCGATCTGACTCACACGCCCTCAACAGCTGCCCCTTAACGACAACGGTGTCTTCTTTACGGTAAAAATATATATTTTTTTAGAAACAAAGACAACGAAAAGCACATATAGCAGAGCTCTGCAGGTAAAGAAGAGTACAAACACCACCTGTAAGATATATATATATATATATATATAATGGAATACCACTCCCATATTAGCTAAATATATTTTTGCCATAGTATCATTGTTTGCTCTTTACATGATCAGCCCTACCCTAATCCCTTAAACACGTTAACAACACTTCTGAGATGTTGCACATAATGTTACACATGATCATCAGCAGATCATGTGTAACATTAAATTAAAACAAATTGTGATGAAAATGTTTTTATTTTTTTATTTGTCAGTGTGATAAATATGTGTTATGGTATTTGTGATTCTTCATCTGTAAATTCTAGAGGAAAATAAAACAAACAAACCAAGATGCAAAGTGTTTTTAACTAAAACATGATTCTGTGTACAAATGTGTTTCACTTATAGTAAACACAAATTCAATTTTGTTTTCATGCAGGGTGCCTCAGAACTGCTTCTCACAGATTCATATCCTGGCACACGACCCCGATGGAGATCACGTGAGATGTCGCTTTAGTTCAGATGCTGCAGCTCCAGCAAACTTCACTCTTGATGAGGTAATGCATATCAAATGTTAAAAACTAACAGGAGCTGTAATGATCATTTGCAACACTAAGCATTCAACAACAATATCATTTTCTCAACTTGTATATCATTTTTTATTTTAGTTTAATATATTTAGCTTTATCATGGATGCTAACGTAGTAGTAGGGGTCCTGGTTACACATTTACAATATATATTTACCTACCATACTGTATTTTAGACAAAGTTTTAAAAGTACTTATTACTCATACACATTTTTGCCAAAGCTTTTACATTTTTAACGTTAAGAAATAATTTTCTTCAACTCTTTTGTACTTAGATGAATATTCAGAGAGATATAGGTATTTCGTTTAAAAGCAGTGGTGGAATGTAAGAACATGTACTCAAACTCTGCATTTAAATACAATTTTGAGGTACTTGTACTTTATTATTTCCTTTTCTGCCATTTTATGCTTCTTCTCCATTTAATAATAAATACATAATATTGAATGTAATCTCCACTACAATTATTTGACATGTGAAATTACAAGTGACAAATGTACTCATTCATACACAAAGTATACAACATTTGCTCGACATAGACACATTTCAACATTGCAAAACAAAAATTAAACATGATAGTGATAAAAACATAATGATATTTTAAAATAAAAATATGTTAAGAGATATTATGCATAATGAGATAATTTAAGTACAATTGGGTGATAATAACTTTAGTTAAATTACGTTCTGAACTCTTGATTTTGACTTGTTTTGGGTTATATTTGGTGTGGTCATTTTAAATAATATTATAACTCTCTGTGTCCTGCCAGAGTAAATGCGTACTCAGTACTAAAGGTGAAGTGGATGTTGGTGTCCACGTGTTCGAGCTGATGCTGGAGGACTTCTCAAGGAAAAACATCACTTTGACCTACGCAGACGGGACCTCCGTATTTCGGGTGGGCTCCGACATGAACTCCCCCCCTCTCTGCAAAGTGAAGCTGCAGTTCTCCATGGAGAGTGAGTTAATGTTCATTAGAGAGACACATCTGGACATATGTCTGATTCTAAAGACACTTGATATTTTTAAGTTGTGATATTGTGATGAAAAGGGTCATGAAGTGATTATAAGAGAGATGCAATTGTTATGTCACATTTCCGTTGCAACATTCTATTTTGATTAAAAAACAGTTCAGCGATAATGTTAAGTTGAAACCATTACCTCAAAATGCAATTTCTTTATTTCCAAAGCGCTTAGACGTGTCTATTTTTTAAAGATAAATTACCAGTGATGCCTTTTTTAATCACTGTTAATGGATTATCCCTGCTCCCTTAAGTCATTGGTTGTCCTAAAAATTAAACAAGTCTACAATGACCCTCATATCCTAACCCTAACCCTAACTCATGACTGCCTCTAAAATAAGCTGATAGATTGTTATTCTAGAGACATGCAATGGACAACATATGACTTCATGAAGTTCAGAAACCCCAACAAAAAGCCCAAGTCTAAGAAAACTAAAAACTGAATTCCTCTTGTATCTGTGTTTCAGTTCTTCCTCCACTATCAAGCTGTGAACATGGCCGTGTGCAGCCCATGTTCTTGTCTAAGACTCCTTCACATGGTGATGTTCTTCATGCCACCATGGGTCAGAAATTCAAGCTTTATGCTCAAGCAAAGGCTACAGAGGCCAGGTATATAATGTTAAAGAAAGACCCCGTATTATGGACAAGCAACATGTCAGGATTTTAAGTTGTTTCTTTTTGTCTCCATTCCTGAAGCATAAATGACTTCCAGGTCAGTGGCCCTCAGAACATGACCAAAGAGTTCAAAGCTGGTGAGCAAGGAACAGCTGAGTTGATTCTGAGCTGGACGCCACTGCACAGCGACCTGTACCGAATCGTCCCGGTCTGCTTCACTGCAGAGACCAATCAAAGGTGAATGCTCTTATCTACTTAATGTGTGCTATCATTTCCTGCTTATGTATGGTGGACTGACCGGCAGGGACAACAGTATATAAATCATTACCATTACTTATGTTCTTCTTCGTGTTGCATTTTGTACTAAAATGTATTTTCTGTTTTTGCAGCCAATCAGATATGAGGTGTGTTGTTGTCCTGGTGACCCAAGCAGCTCTCATTCAAGGTTTGTTGATCAACATGGTTATCTCTGTTAAAGTTGCTTTGGAAATCCTCCTAATGAGTCTCTCCGTAAATAGATTGGGTTTACTTTGCGATGTTCATACTACTCACTCGTCACCGGCTTGAGTTTCTAAACAGGATACATGTATTTATTATCCTTGCAAGAATGGAAGTAGTCATCACATACAGCATGTGATACAACTAGTTCCCCGAACAGTGTCTTTCACATGCTTATATACAAGAGAGGGTTTTACACAAGATGGAGAAATACCGGTTCAAGGCAGTATTCAATGGGCAAAACAAAACAATATTCACGAAACTGTGTCTCAGCCTGAGAAATGTTAAGAAGCCCTGAGACTCTCAGGGCTTTTTAACATTTAACAACCTATTCATGTGTCATACCCACTTAACGGGAAGAAATTCAGCTAACTGACGATATGAAAATGTTTACCGAAACAAAACACAAGTCTAACGCCGAGTCTCTGAATCAGCACTAAGCGAAAAAATGCTAACGCACTTAGCGCAGAACTCACGGTAGAAATATTTTATACTTCATCGGTTCTGCACAAACAAGATATCATCTGAAAGCTGAGATTCCATAGATTCCAATGGTATAAGTATCATCACTCCACGACCAAAACTCTACACTACCGTTGCTGTTTACTGATCAAAAGTTGTGTTCAAGGGCATTAAAACGAAGATAAACGCTGCTGAAGGTTAATCCAATGTCTCTGTGTCACTTTGAAGTGATTACTGATAATCCATCGTCATATTTATGGCAATAAGCCTAGTTTTCAGTTTTCATTTTTCAGAGCATAACATAGCTTTCGGTTTGGGCAAACTGCGTGCGCATCACTCTCTAATAATATTGAATACTTAATTATTGGGGAAGAGTCTAGTTTTTGTGACTGAAAGGTCTCAGTAGAAGCTCTATTATTATTATGTTTTCCTGTCGCTTTCATTTCATCAGTTTCAATGTGAGCCTCTTAACATGGTATCACACACATGAATGCAATAAATAACTTTGGGCAAACTGCGTGCGCATCACTCTCACTCCTCGTGGTAACGTGTAGGTGGATTTAGGAACATCCCTCTCTATTCTATTGGCTCTAATGGTTCAAAATAGGTGTCAATCATCAAAATCGGCCAATGGGTTCCAGAGATATGGCAAATACACCCAAATAAACCTCTCTAAAAAGGTCAAATTTCACTTCTTTGGATCAATCTGGATACAGGGTACAGTTTGGATTCTTAGAGCTTTTAGTCTACTATCCCATCATTTAAGGGTGGTTTTCACTATAAGTATAAATGGGTTTGTTTTGGACGGAAACTATAATTTACATTTTTTTACTATGTTCAATCTGAATTTACTCTAAAATAAAAAAAAATTCTATATTGATTCTGACTTTTCTACATCCAACTCACAGGTTTATCATTGCTTTGAGAAAAATGATTATTAATTTTCCCCTTTTAGAAGTGAAGATATGGTCATTTGTTCTGGGAATGTCATTTTCGAGCCTGAGAACTGAAAAACAGGCTTGGGGCTTAACAGGTTTTTAAAGCCTCTACATTTCTGGGGATCTTAAAATTAAGTCTATGCGAATAGTAATTTTCCACCTCAAGTAGTCAATATTTCCCCATTACATGGAAATGTTGTAGTTTATAGTCAATTTGCAACATTAACATGACGGTGCGTAAGGTTTGAAAAAATGCACTGAGTGTGTTGTGAGGGTTTAGCAATGTCCAGTCTACCGATATACTGCCAAGATGATGAGAATTCTAGTCAGCGTTGGACATTTTGGTTGGTCTCCCAGACTTTAATGGCAAATCCTGAATGAATCAGTAGTTTGATTCAAGTTCTTGCTACCTTATTATTTAAAGTTCTATGCCGTCTTTGAAATTGATGTCTACCTTGAACCACTTTTTGACACTCTGGAATCCTTTATTGAATCCGTCTATCCTTTGTAGTCTAACCACAGTACTCTCAGAAAGTAGGTTATCCGAAGTGTCTAGTAATTCTGATCCAACCATTATATAGAAAAAGGGGTGTACTCAAAAAGCAAATCACATTCAGAAAAGAACACGTGTATGTATTTTTCAACTTCAGATGAGTAAAACTGTTACATAGATAATCTTAGAATGTGGAGAAAAATGTTGTGTCACGTTTTGTCCCCATTTACAACTGGCTTTAATAATATAAAATGTACATCTGAACATCTTTGGTAGCCCTTATTAAGAAATAAGTTAAGTTAACGTACTTGTGATTTATTAACAGGGACAGCTACTGTTACTTGCTCACCAAACAAGATGACAGTGGCTCTGGATAAATCTTCCATGCCTGGCATCGACGTCAACTTCCTTCAGTTGATAGATTCGTCATGCTCTCTGACCTCCAACGGCACTCACATCCTGGGCGTCATGTCGTTCAGCACCTGCGGCACCAAACTTCTGGTTAGGAAAAACGTTTACATTATAATAGGGAGGCTGTGACTCAGTGGGTAGTGTGCTGGACTTCGAATCGGGGGGGTAGCAAGTTCGAGTCCCACTGCAGTCAGCATGTCGTTGTGTCCCTGGGCAAAACACTTCACCCCAAATTGCTCCTGTGGGGATTGTCCACAGTACTGAATGTATGTAAGTCGCTTTGGATAAAAGCGTCTAACAAATGATACAAAATGTTCTATCTGATACATTTGCAACTGGTTATAGTTATAGGTTTTTTGCATGGCGATTAGAAGAATACTATAAAACATATCAAAATGTCTGCATTGTGTGAACTCCAAATTTTTGTTCATTTCCTTTTAAGAAACTAACGTGTTTATATCACTTTTATTTTTCTTAAATACAGGACAAAGGGGACTTTCTGGTTTTCGCAAATGAGATTCTGTCCTACGAGCTTCCCAGCGAGGTTATTATCCGCAGGAAGGCCGTTAAAATCGATATCTCTTGCCAGTTTCCAAAAACCGTCAGCATCTCCAGCTACTACAACCTCCAGAAGTCTAAATACATTTTCACAGAGTCCAACTTCGGCAGTTTTGGATACACTTTTGAGATATACAATGACAACAACTTTACAAGTAAGGTGGAAGCCAGCAACTATCCAGTGGAAGTCATGCTGTTGGATACAATTTACATGGGCATTCAGGCAGATTCGGAACTACCAAGCGTGACCTTGTTTGTTGAATCATGCAAAGCCACTCCTAATAACAACCCCGAAAATTTCCTCTCCTATGACCTCGTCAAGAACGGGTGAGTGCTGATGCTTTCTGGGAATCACAAACTGTTTGATTTAAGACATGGGCATATAATAATAATGATATTTAATATGCAGTTCCTTAATCTGTGTGTGTGTTTGACATGCTACAATTTATATTTCTCACAGGTGTCTTAAGGATGAGACAGTTGTGGTCTACCCATCCAATCAAAAAACCTACAACTTTGAAGTTCAAGCCTTCAAATTCAGTGGAAACTATGAACAGGTAATAATATTGAATACTTAATTATTGGGGAAGAGTCTAGTTATTTTGACTGAAAGGTCTCAGTAGAAGCTCTATTATTATTATGTTTTCCCGTCGCTTTCATTTCATCAGTTTCAATGTGAGCCTCTTAACATGGTATCACACACATGAATGCAATAAATAACTTACAGAAGATGCGATGCCCAGTTGAATTTGGTGGTAAACTTGAAGGATGATCTGAAATGAGGGACTTCTCAAAGCATTTGGCCAAAGAAGGCTGTACTTGATTAAAAAGCAACTGTAGAGTTGATTATGACAGGAGAACTGGAGAAAACTGTGTAGTATTATCGAATGAAGAGGGCGAAAAAAGGGAACGTTTTACAGGAGGGATAGGTCAAACTAACAACTTTAATACAGAAGACCTTACATGAAAAAACAAGTCACAAGGTTTTATCTTTAAGTTAAGGACGTCACTCCTTTAACAAATGAATAACTAGTCATTTGATTCTGAAAACAAAAAACGATCCTGCAAAGATCTGCTCCCAATGTCTGTTTTTAAAATAAAATAACATGTTTATCCATGGGTTAAAAAATGGAGAGACAATTGGAGATGTAAAATTATCAAATGTATCCCCATCGTCAGTTTCACCATTTATCTCTCATGCACTGAAAAACTGAAACGTTGACTTTAATGAAATGTATTACACCAACACATTTCTAACTAACTGTATAAGGTTAGGTGAAAGAAATAATATTAGGTTGAACCTATCATTTAGTATTTAAACGTAATATTATTGCTTTCATCTAACCTAATACAGTTTTGTGAAAGCCGTCGACATAATACATTTAATTGAAGTCAACTATAGAGTATATATATTTGTTGTTGTTGTTTATGTTTACACAAATAGAATTTGGCAAAGCTGCAATATTTACCTACAATTCAAAGTGGTTAATTGGTTTAGAACTACAAAAACAAGTAGTAGAGGTATTCCTGTTATACTTATTAAAAGTGAATCCACTACTGGCAGCCAATCAGAGTTGAGAAGTCTCAGTGGCCATGGTACGACTACTCAATACAGACAAAAGAACGGTTAAGACCAGATGAAATGGGATGAAAAACAACCTGAATATTGTGAAACGACATGTTTGATTGCAAAAAACTGTGCAACATGAACCATAGTTCCCTCTTGTTGAAGCATGAATTGATTTCCTTTTCATCTAAACCACCCCCCCCCCCACTCACAGGTGTACATCACCTGCTCCGTCATCCTGTGTGAGCCTGGGAATCCCTATTCAAGATGTGCCCAGGGCTGTCTGTCAGATCCATCCCGCAGACGCAGGAGATCGCTTGTCAAGGAGACATTCAGCCACTCAATTACCCAGGGTCCTTTCCGGTTTATCGGGCACGCTGATCCCATTGCAGCCATGGATCAAAACCTTGCTGTGGTTAAAAAGAGTCCAGCCATGGATGTTAAACCTAGTGTGATGACGAAGGGCCGCCCAACTGCTGAAGGTTAGTGTGTGTCCTACCTGCACTGAAAAATCTGAAACGTTGACTTTAATTAAATGTATTATGTCAGCAAATTTCACATAACTGTATTAGATTAGATGAAAGCAATAATATTAAGTTGAACTTACTTATTGAATAACATTGCTTTCAACTAACCTAATAGAGTTATCAATCAATGTTTATTTATATAGCCCAATATCACAAATGTTAGATTTGTCTCAGTGGACTTCACAGTTTGTACAGAATATCATTATGACAATACGACATCCTCTGTCCTTTGACCCTCACATCGTACAAGGAAAAACTTCCAGAGAAACCCCACAGTTTAAAGGGGAAAACGGGAGAAACCTCAGGGAGAGCAACAGAGGAGCGATCCCTCTCCCAGGACGGACAGGCGTGCAATAGATGCCGTGTGTAAATCAAAAAGATAATACATTTTACAGCATATACCAAATGTTTGGAAATGCATGTGTCTATAATAATAAGATGAATCCACGAGGATGTCAACAATCCTGTGGGAGCCATCAGGGAAGAAGTATGATGAGAGTCAGGCAGGACCACAGTGACAGGTTCAGCCACGACTCGAAGTCCAGGACTCAGATCAGGAATCAGGATCCCGGCGTAGATAGACACCAAAAAGAAATTTGGGGAAGCTGGGTTATTCGGAACATGAGAGTACACAGGTACAAACAGACAGAAGGAAGAAGTAAGGTGTCCCCCGACAAACTGCCTATAGCAGCAAAACTAGGGGCTGAATCTAATCAGCCCTAACTATAAGCTTTATCAAAAAGGAAGTTCTTAAGCGCACTCTTAAAAACAGTTATGTAAAATCTGTTGGCATAATACATTTAATTCAACTCAACGTTTCGTTTTTTTCAGTGTATCTATCTATCTATCTATCTATCTATCCATTTATCCATCTATCTATCTATCCATCTATCTATCTATCTATTTTATAAACTATAATAACATTATCCTGTTGTCTTTCAGTGATTGTACCATCAGTTCTTCTGGAAGACACTGAATCCAGCTCAGGAAGATGGGGAATCGAGGAGATCCTCAGTGCCAATATCAGCACCTTGGTCTTTGCCAGCGCCTTCTTTGTATCCATGGCGATGTTAGTTGCGGTTGTTGTTTACTTCACAAGGAAGAGAAATGAAGAAGACTGCAAAGTTCTCTTAAATTCTAGCTATGATAACTAAACCCAAATAATCTCAGTTCTACACTGCATGTTAATTCTTTATTGTTCTACGTACCACAGGCTTCAAAAAATTGCAACCCTATCCTTTAAAGAGTTACTCTTTTGAGGCTGATAAAAATTAAATAGAATAGAACACCATGTTGATCTTGGAACAATAGGCTCAGCTATCTCGCTTTCTATCTAGCTTTCTCTTATGTTGCAGGTCTTCGACCACTCCCAATTTCTTTTCTAAACCAGTTTTAGGGTAGGGCACAACTTAAAAATACTGGACTGCTGTCAAAACAGAATTCCATTCAGTCTGGTTTTGCTGGATTATTTTCCGTTGCCACTGTCTTGTTGTCAACTTCATGGGAAAAGGTTTCCAGTCATTTACTTAAGTTGTTTTAGAGTTGTTATGGTTAAGTAAGAATTAGCAGGAATAGTTAACAGTTGATACAGTGATACTTGAATGTGTGGGAATTTGGGATTTATATATTTTACTTCTTTAGGACCCAAACAAGAATCTGTCATTTCATATCTTACATTAACTTGAAGTACATTATACACATTTTTACTCTAAGTGATGTACATTAAAGACCAGTTGTTTAGACTTAGGCACATTTGTATCAAGATTTGCCTTTAAAAATACAAAACAAATGTACCAAAAACAGTGTAATAATCTTTAGCTTGATAATATGTTGCAGTATATGACATACAGTAATGAGATGACTTTTCATAGACATTTAGATTCTGTCAGTGAACTCTCTCAATAGACCAATACAGCTATATCTTTAACGGTGAAATCATATGTTTGTATTATCAAAATGGGCTTTTATTTACAATAAACGGGAAAATCTGCATTATATTGACATTTCTTTTGAAGAATTACTGATATCGCATAGAAAACACAACAATGTGTGTTTCTATTTTGTGTATGTGTTGATGCATTTCTCAAACGTAATTGATATTTGGGGATGTGTTAGTATGCTAACATGCTCACAGTGACAAGTTGATGTTCAGCAGATTTCGGGTCCAACATGTTCAACATTTGAGTTGAGACAGTAAGCGTGCAAAGGTTTGCTGAATCGCACTCAACGCAAAGTATAGCGATTATGATGGGAATTTCATAAAATAAAAAATGTTAGATGACGAAGGCAATACATTAAAAGTTGAGGTATCAGGAATACTTGGACAAATGAGAAAAAGCAACAACTTCTAGGTGTGAAATGTGAAGCCAATGCCAAAGTACCTTTTGCAATATCTAGCAGGAGCAACTCATGGTTAAAAAAAAAGTGTGTGACTGTATAGAAGTCTATGAAAAGATTTATTAACTTATTTCCTAAAAAGCTTAAAGTTCTCAATCGCTAAGTCTTATTTAATAAAGCATGATGTTATTCTTTTAATATTATGGTCCCATTTAGAGTGAAATACAGAAAAGCAGCTCATGCTTTAGGACCGTTTTTACCTTGTGATTGACAGGTCACAACCTCCATGTTCAGGGGCTTTCTGTGATTTCATATTATAGCTGTTACCTTGGACTGTTCAAAATGTGGACTCTCGTGTCAAAACTCAAGGCTTCAAAGTGGTAATCCACAAGCCAATGGGTGATGTTAAAATGACTACGTTTACTTCTTGTAAACAGTCTGTGCCTTGAGAAAGCTCAGGTTGGCACTGATGATCAGCACAGATGATCAGGTCCTGAAGGGTTACAGGTGGAATCTGGACTGACTATCGGAATTAAGAAATCTGGAGGAGCCATATGAGGATCAAGTTCAGCTGAGGAGAAGAAACAGCAACAACAAAAAATAAGTGAATTTTGGGCATTATAAAAATGTTATCTGTAAGATGTTGGGGACACTCCACCATGGCTGCTGAGCCAAGGGACTACATTTGTGTAAAAACCGTACACATACATATGCCTGCAACCGTAAGCTATTGGTTGCTGTAGCCTGCAGTGATTACTGCCAACCTAAGATCTCAGAAATCCTTCAGGCTTCTGATATGGTTTATATTGAATCATTGAATTAGATTGTTGAATGGACTATTTTACGAGACTACAATAACTGGGTGTTTCTTTCCTTTGTCATAGCGGTGGGGCCCCCGAGGCAGTTTAATGTTATAGAAACATTTCAATTGAGGATTTAAATGGTATACATTAAAAAACCTGTTGAAATCAGAGTAATGCAATCCCAATAATATTCATAAGAAGAATGACCACAACTCTATAATCTGACACTTGAAATGTTGGCACAAATCACACTTATACGAAGCCCTAGTATATTAAAAATCCATACATAAATTCATACTTCCTACTATACTGCTAAAGAGCACATCCCTATGTGAATTATCCTACAGCAGGCTACTTTATCCGTTTATACTGGCTTATGGGAACATTTAGTATTTAATACATTCATAGGTCAAAGTCCTATTTTTTTTAAATATATGCATTTACTTTCTACAACATTATTGCCCTGAATCTCAATCTTTTCGGGTAATGCTTTAGCTGAAAATGCACTTTTTTGCACTAATACAAAGAACCACTGAGAGCCACCCAGTATTTACAGTACTAAGTAAGTATTAAGTAAGTATTTAAGAGTTTAGTATTTAACACATTCATAGTATTACATTTAGAATGTAATACATTCATAGGTCAAAGTCATATTATATTTTTAAAATATATGCATTTACTTTCTACAACATTATTGCCCTGAATCGCAATCTTTTCGGGTAATGCTTTAGCTGAAAATGCACTTTTTTGCATTAATACTCAGAACCACTGAGAGCCACCCAGTAGAAGAAATTACAACAATTCTTCAAAAGGCGGGATACCATGTCTGCCCGAGGTTTCAATCATCATTTCTGAGAGCTGCCGTTCAACTGGAGGAGAGGGATTGATTGAAGTTATGTAAAGGTATGACCTTTTCTCCCTTATCAATAGTCAAAACCTAGTATAACTTCAACCTGCGTTCTTACTTAAATAATAATTTCCAATTACTTCAAATGTATACCATGAAGAATTGAAGTGTGTAAAGGTTAAATAAGTGGTCAAATCTACACTTTGAGGAGTGTTTTTTAACACACAGTTGTTTTCTATGGTGTCAATCTAAGATATATACTTCACATTTTGCAGCAGGGCGCCCTCTAGGGTTTTAAACTGCTTCACTGATCAGATCCATAGAGATCAGATCCTGCAGCAATACTGCCTCATTTAAAACTGCACAGCTTGTCCACTTTGAATTCTGATGTACTGCACATATTTGATTATTCAGAGTAATTTGTTTCATTATTGTTGCACTTAAATGTTTCATATATTTGAATTTCTTAAAATATTCAATTCAACCTAACATTAAATATCTTTGGGATTTCTTTTTTTTACACGTTCTAACAGCTTTTAAATTAGTTTCAACTGAATTCATCTCATTGTGTTGATACATCATGCACCATTATACACCAAAGCAAATTATTTTAATTTGATTCGGATTGTAATGTGGATTGTGCAATCAAGAGTAAACATAGGATCTCGGCTACATAAGTACACTTATTAGACAAACCAGAGAAAAAATGCCACAAAGTCCCTCAATTTACGTTACGTTTTTAAAATACAAACACGTACACATTCATTCTAAATATTTAGGCAGACAGATTTTAAGACATGTTTTACACAGTCTATGCACAGTCTCACAGTTAATATTAAAGTGACCCTTAATCTTTTTTATTATAATTGTGTTGCTACAACAGTGCATTTTAAGCCAAAGCATGACGTTTTGGCAAATCTAATAAAGTATTTCTGTTGCATAACATAACCTAGTAGTATTTTTGCTCTTTTGTTGTTTCAATTTAAATTGCAGGAAAAAAACTATCCTGTTGTATACATTTATTATCACGTAATACCACCAGTGTGCAGCAGGTGTCAGAAATGTACAAATCTTGCAAGGTTATGCCCATATTGAGTGAAACATAATCTATAGGTCTGTTGTTGCAGATTATTGTCAGAAAAACAAATAACATATTGCCCATAACGTTTTTAACAAAGTTGTCTTAACAAGCAAACTGGTTGTTCTGCATAATGGGTTTGGCAATTTGGTTTCAACTGTTGGCAAAATAATACCCCTCAATTATATCTCATATTGAGATTTCTTGCACTGTCATCTAAACTGACTGAAAGTAAATTCCGGGTTACATTCATCCCAGAAGGATATGATTTGTCAGACTACTGTTAGTAAGCAAATTTAGCAAAACATAAGTTACAGGGCAAGAGTCAAGACGAGTCGCTTTTTAATGGCAGAACAAGTGACGATTAAAATATAAATACTAAATACAAACTACTAATTAAAAATACTACAAAAAGGTTACTAGTGCAGCAATTTTCATCTCTTTAGTCCATCCTTTTTTGTGGAACAGATACAACGAATCATACACCTCCAAATTCAACTCTGTCTCTTTTAAGCATCTGTTTTTGTTTTGTTTTTGATTACAATTTTGTTTTCAATAAACTGGCCATACAGACCATTACAAAATCCACATCAGCCTCTTTTACAGACAGTTCTTGAGTCAATGGCCACAGCACACAGCAAATCAAAAATGACAAAAATCCTTTGTTTCGCTAAAGGAAGTGACTCTACTTCCGGTGGGGTTTTCTTTTCAAAATAATAGCTGATTCTAGTCGGTCATGAAATATTACTACTACTAAAAATTAAGTGTGTTTTGGACTGTTGCTCACTTCAACCAATGTTACAATGTTATATGACTAAATGGTAGATTTATTTGTATTGTTTGTTGAAGAATATGTATATATGGCAACATGCATGTATTAAAATCTAATTGCTTTAAATGGTTGCAATTGTTTGTTAGTAATGTTTAAATGATTTTTTTATATTTTGGGGTAGATTCTGCAATACCAGCACATTTTATTGTCACAAATAAGTTTCATATTATCATATAAACATTTGGCTTTAAAGGGGACCTATCATGCAAAATGCAATTTTTGATGTCTTTTATACATAAATGTGTCCCCGGTGTGTCAGGAAACTCACGCAGCGTGAGAAAATAAAACCCTCTCTCTTTTCCTCCGTACCCAAATCTCTAAAAACGGGGGTACAACGGAGCTCATCCAGATTTGCGGCCGATATGACGTCAAATCGGCGGTGGACCCACAGCACTATCAGAAAGTTGCAATCAGAAACAAGGCCCGACTGTTTTGGACGTAATATGGTAGGTGTTTACATTAGCATCGCTAACACTCAGAGCTAACCTGTAGCCTACTGGAGAACATGTGTGTGAAGAAGCAGGAAATAAAAAGGAACTCACCTTGTGGTATAACCGGCAAGAGAGAAAGCCTTTGAGCTCCATACTGTTTTAGAAATAATCCTTGATCTAATAATCCTTGTGTTTCATCACCGCAGCATTTTAGACTATAGGGTTTTTCTCAATGTCGAGGAAGGCTCCTCCAGAGCCACTATTCCAAGGATGCTACGTCATCGAGTCCCGCCGAAGGACTTTTCCAATGTCCAGACCAGGATCCTTGGAATTCCACAGAGGCCAGCGTCCTTCGTTGTGGGAGATTTCGAGGCTGCACATGTCTATCCTCCGCGGTCTTAAAATCCCCACAATGCTTTGCACAAGGACTAATTTCCTAAATCTTTGGCGGAAATCGGGCTCCATTTAAGGCGGGGCCTCGCATATGACGCACACTTGTTAACCTGTTCCACCATTCTTCGTTTTCCGAGGCTAGGAAGGATTCTTGCCTAGCTTCTGAAGGACCTGACTCGGAAGACATATCCTACCAAGGAAGCGTCCTCGACATTGAGAAACACCCAGTATCTGCCAGGTCCCGCATGAGCCAGCATAAGCTCCGCCCCCTCTTATAGTTTAAAAAAAAAAAAGCTTTATTTTTTAATTTAGCCTTTAAAGTTTATTTATACAGATGAACATCTCATTGAGACACAGGGTCTCATTCTCAAGAGAGACCTGTTTATACCCAGAATCAGCACTTTTGTAACAGGAAGTGAAATAGATAGAGGGATATGAGGCATGGCTAGAATGGGTGATCTGTTTTTTTTTTTTACCAAAACACTTCATAGACATGTTTTTTATATTTTTTTTATATATCTGAGACATATTGCCTAAAAATAGCATGATAGTTGACCTTTAATGTGTTTTTGCTGTGCACTAGTGAGAGGTATAATGCAATTCAATTAAACATGACTGACTAAATGCCACTGAATTGAACTGCAATGTGACCTTTCAAAAATTAATTATCAGGTTTTAGTTTGAAAACTAAAGTGGGAAGTTGACGTTGGACAGCGGAAGTGTCACGTGACTGTATTGACTGGGGTCTTCAACACATCTGGTAACAAAGCACATTTTACAAATATCTTCTAAAAAATAAGTGTTACGTTAGTTTTTTATGTAGCCAGTTTCTCCTGCATGATGTGTACAATTGTCAGTGGACTTAATAACCGAGCTGGACCGGCACTTTTAGTTTTTTGCTAACTTGACGTTAACGGTCCCCGGCTGGGCATGTCCTGCTGTGTTAACGGTCTGCAGCAGGAATAACGTCTCAACTTCTAACACAACAATAGAGGGATGGAAACATGTCGACTGATCATTTTGACGACATTATTTGAAGAAGTCAATGTAAACAGAGGGTGTAGTTTAGTTGATATTTGGTCAAAAATACCTTCATGTGGTCGGAAGAGGTTAGGCGAGGCGTTGTGCGGTGCTAATTATTGTGTAAGGTGTGTGACCAGAAGAAGCAGACGTATGATTCGTCGGTGTTTGACAGCGGTCCCTGGCATCTTTGCTGGTTTGTTTACCGTTAGCGTATAGTTTTGGAACAATACGTATGCCTTTCATTACGAAGTAAAGTTAAATGCTACACAACAAACTAAATCGTTGTTTTATCCTAAAAGCTACCCCTTATATTGGAAAAATAACTGTCACGTGTACCCTACGTGGATTTCTGAGTTTGACAGGAGTTTACATTTGCGCTTTTAATTTGAAGAATTGTGGCGGAAGGGCGGATGCTGCTGTTTGCGTTTAGCTCGACAGAGTGGATTCCGTTGGGAAGACGTAGATCATCGCCAGGCAGGTCTCCGGGGGCTCTCTCTCGGTTTTACGTGCAGTATAACGGTGTCACATCCGGGATGAGTCCACGAAGGTCTGTATATCGAAGGTCGTGTTTTTTCTGGTGATGTTATGATGTCAAACGAAAATAAATAGCTACAACGTTAACTCCTTTCCTGCCGCTGCTGCCCTTCAGTTTGCCTGGCAAATTAGCTGGCTAGCCCGTTTTTTGACTTGCAGATGGTTTATGTGTGCTCAGTCACATTCACCAGCTGCTGTAATCTTACTTAATTTACATTTCTCCTTTCCCTTTCAGCCTCCATGCCTCTGTGGATTTAAATTAGCCTGGAATATGAGCAGAAGACGAAGTTAAGCAGCAGCAGCAGCAGCAGCAGCGGCGGCGGCTGGCTTCCTGCAGGTTTTCTCCCAGGCTTTTTGTTTTTTCCGTGGACATGCCTGGTCTATGGAGCGAATCTGAGCGAAGCTAGCTGGCCGACAGTCCGACTAGCGCAGCATTTCCAGGCTTTTGGATGATTGTTTAACTGAGGAGCTGATTTATTTCTGGATCAGCCCTACCTCCCCTGTAAGGACTCAGTATGGGGGAGTCCAGCCTGGACGATGCCAATGTCAAGGTGGCTGTTCGTGTACGGCCCATGAACAGGAGAGGTGAGGGGGCTTCAGTATGCTGTGATTTGGATTGTTATTGGTGCTTTTACCCTCAAAGTGATGCCATGGAGAGACTGCATCTGTCTTCATTATCTGGGATCAGGTTTACATGATATATATATATATATATTTAAATATATACCTTGATGATATGCATATACTTGATGTCAACATAGTCTTATGAACATAACAAAATTAGATGAACATAATTGGTTATGGATTATCTTAGGTTTATCTAATGCATAGCTATACACACACTGCATTTCACAGCAACATTAGGACACTGGATTCACTTAAATACCCACTGTTTAATTTCCCTGAGAAAGTAATGCCAGTCAGATATCACCACCCATTAGATAAATGAGCTTCTGTAGATAAAAAAAAAGATGTGGTCTGGATGGCACATGTTTGTACACTGCTGCCATAGGGCCTTCCTTATGGCTGCCTGCCATCCAGCAAGATTTAAGGCTGAGCTGCTGTGTGAGATCATCTGTTACAGAGTGTACACACTTTGGCTTCTTCTTCGCTGGCTGATACAGATGCCAATAGCTTCTTGACTTCATCTGTCACTTGCTGCAACAATGGGACAAGTCAGATGTTTTTACAGAAGAGCTGTGGAATGGTACTCAATGAGGGCAACAGAAGTATGTCAGAAAAACATCAGTGCAAAGTACCATTTACTAGAAATGAGATTACTCTGTGATGTTTTATCTGAGAGGCCCCTATCCTCACTGTTTCACTTACATTATAGCAACACACATGCATCTTCATTCGAATAATCTTCCCTGGGCGGCTATATGTTCACACATTGTTACATCCTAATTTGAGAGAAACCTGGTTAACAAAGGTACAGTATTCCACAAATCTGCCTGCAAATGCTCCCGTCCATTATATTGCAAATATCCAGTGCAGCATGCATTAAAGGGCGGATGACCTTTCCTGGTTGATTGCCAAGCTGTGTTTTTGCCTTGGGAGACCATGTGTCCCATGAAAGAAGGAGGAGGAGGAGAGCTGCTAAGACAGAGTAGTGACAACTGACAACAGAGAACACTGGTAGAAGACATCACGTGTATCTCTCTCTTTCATTTTCTCTTTCTCTCTCTGTCCTCCCTATGAGCTGGAGAAGTCGGTCACAAGACCAAGGCATCGGATCACCGCACACTTCACACAGGCAGGGATTTACTATGAACTGTAAGGGAAACTCCGAGATTAGGATGTTCATTCTTAGTAATGTCATACTGCTTGGCTGAACCTTTATTTTGGACACAGAAGTTCCATGTATTTCTGTTTTTGAAAAACCAAACATTGTGTAATTTACCCATCAAGGTTGTGGTTATTTAGATGGTGACACAGAGAGGCTACACGTTGGCTCTTGTGGAATTCAGCCTCAGATCAGTTTCATTTAATCCTCTTTCACACATAGTTCCTGCTCAATTACTGTGATAACCTTTCAGGCATCTCATTTTCACCTTTTAAACATAAACTACATTCAGGGCAGTTTCTGCCTTTCGCTAGAAGACAGACATTTTTCTTTGTTGATTTAAGAATAAGATACGGCAAGCCAGGCCAGATGTATGTGTACGAGGTGGAAGACATCTTATCATTTTCAGGAACATGGCAAGCGGGGAATATTTTTTCAAAACAAAAAATAAGCTTGTTTGCAAAACAAAAATAACCTTTATTGCTTGTTAGTTTTTTCATTTACCCTTGAAAGCATTTATGTAAACTTTAAACAACTCATGGAAATGGGGATGTGACCTCCCTTTAATTACAATATTGCAATAGCTTTTCTTTTATTGAAAATAGTTTGTTAATGTTTTTGGTGTTGCTTTGTTCTAACAAATCATATCTTAATTAATGTCGATCACTGAAACGGGGTGTACAACTTATTTTTCTTTGTCCGACAGTGGTATTTGTGTTTATATATATATATATATACAGGACTGTCTCAGAAAATTAGAATATTGTGATAAAGTTCTTTATTTTCTGTAATGCAATTNCAGCAATATTAAAATAATAAAAGGCTTGCAATATTTCAGTTGATTTGTAATGAATCCAGAATGTATGACATTTTTGTTTTTTTAATTGCATTACAGAAAATAAAGAACTTTATCACAATATTCTAATTTTCTGAGACAGTCCTGTATATATGTGAGATTTCCTTCTGGTCTCTGATTGGTTGAACCCACATTTGATAAACCCTAAAATATGTTTTTTTTCCTCTATAGTCGGCAGGTGTCAGAGCCATGCAGATCACTGGAACAAAAACACAGCAGTATGTTAATAACACCCAAAACACATATTACTCATATTAACACAAAAACCAAACTACAGACTAAGTTACCCATAGATATAGATTAAAATATGTGATCAGTGGATTTCTTTTAGCTTGCTCCATTTGAAAATGTCTTTTGACAGACACTCTGTTGTACTTGTCTGTGCAATGCAAGTGCTTTAATTTGCATAAATCATGCCAAATTGGCCTTTTTGCTGAACTGTGACAAGGTCTTGAGGTGGGAAAATTAAGGTTTGAAGGAAATGTTCCTTATAATTCAGCGATAGATTGCAAATGCAAATGAGGCTTCTTAAGATTTACTGTAAATTAATTATTCTCGCTACTTCTCAATGATTGTTGAGGTCTGTTCGCAATGGGCCCTTGTCCACTTCCCACTGTCAATGTGCAGTCATTTAGTCGGTCAACATTCTCTTCATCTTACTTGACAAACCACTAGAGGTACTTCACTGAAGCGCCACTTCCTCTTTTCTGTTATTGTTTATTTTAAAATGTAAAATATTGCACTAATAAAAGCTGCACAGCTTGCACAATTTCAAACATGCAAAACATTTTCTGCTACCATTGTAAGCAAATTCCTGCAGGTATCCAGTGCTGCTTAGTAAGGCAAAGTCAATACGAATTGGGTAAAGGGGAACGAGAAGGAAAAGTTTAGAGTGAGCTGTGCCATGTTTCCAGTATTAAGAGTTCTGATCCCTGTCTAAATGGAGCTTCTGTCCATAACTGCCCTTGTTCATGTGAGGCTTTTATGATTGCAGATAGACCCCAAACAACATATTATCTCCGAGAGAGGACACAGAGTTTTTCCATCCAATGTTAGTTTAGTGGATCCTAACCGCCTCTAAAGAAATTGCTCTGCATTTCCTTCGCTAAAACATCATTTGCTCTTCAGTTTCTCCTGCCAGACATTTGCTTCACTTGCAGTTAAGGGAAGGCAAAGAAATACACATTCTATCTCCTCACAGCTGGTGCTATGAATCAGACCTGTTGCTTTGAAATAATAACCAGGTTTCTTCAACCTGGATGGCACTGTCCCTGTGGCTCCCAGGTTGAGGAGGAGAGGTGCTGTAGCAGCAGCCCAGCTGGACAAAGGCAGGAAGGGAGTGAGTCTGAATGAATATTTGCTAACATTGCGTAATGCTCCATGTTCCCATGGCTGTGGCCTTCGAAGAACAGAGCAACCCCAAGCATAGCAACGGCAACACTGCGGCCAATAGGCTTCCTGGCTGATGTGCCAAACCTCAGCACCGGTAGCCTGGGCTAGGACCTCAGAGAAAAAGCCAGCGGAAAGAGGGAGTTGGTAATGGAGCAAGAAGAGGCAGATAACAATGAGTACATTTATCCTCATAACCACAAAGCATCACACTTTCCCCTCAGCTAACCAGGATGTAAAGATCCAGCAGTAAGAGCACATAATGAGGGAGCAACAGGAGAAGACGGAACGTTCATCCTTTCTATTGCCTTATTTCCACTGCATGGTTGGATCAACTCGCTTTTGGTTCCCAGTCTTTTTCTCTATTTTGTCTTTCACTGCAGGGAATACCCCCTAAGTATAGGAGGGATTCTCCGATGATCTCATAGTGTGATTTCTCAGTTTTGCTAAAATTTGCGCGGAGTGAAAAAAAGCAGTTGTCGTCATTATTATTGGCCTAACATTGGCTATTTAAGAAATGACTGTTTTGTGCAGGATTTCCTGTTTCCCGCTCTTCACCAATCAGAGGGTCTGCTGTGTATGGACTCCAACTTCTAGTATCAGCTCAGCCCATCTTGGACCCTTGCCCAAACTTTATATTGCACTATCGCTCTCACTGTGGTTTTGTCACTTACTTAGATCACCCTGCTATTTTGCTTTGTAGTTTCCCCGACAGCAGAAGAATCAGATGGTGATTCAGCAACTCTGACCTTTGACAGCAAGTTTCAATGGCTCTACCCCCGTGTTCCTGCCAGAAACAGCAGTGAGGCTCTCTAAACAGACTTCTAATCCCCAATGTTTCTGGTTTTCACTGGCGTAGCTCGCTTCTTATCTGATATATACCTCCTCCAGTTGGGATTCCCTTTTTCTCATGGCAGGAAACCATAGCAGGGGAGTCAGAGTAGTATCCATGAGAAGACACTTGTAGAAAGAGTACCACAAATGTGAAGTGACTTGTGTTTTCTTTTTGCAAACTACCATTACAGCAGGGCTGCCAACACTCACGCATTGAGCGTGAGAGTCACGCAATTAGCCCATATCTCACGCACTCATGCCACACATGCCTTTCCTCACGCTAAGTTTTCGTCCAAAATAAATGTGTATAAATATAAAAATAAAGCGAAGGAACAGCAAACCGAGCGGTCTACGAAATGAGACGGTCTTCTGGCTTAGTTCAGTAAAGTTGGAACAATATTGGAAGATTCTGATTTCACGGATCAATAACTCATGAACAAAACGTTATTCAGACACAAATGACGTCTCCTAAGTACCTTGGTAAGGTTGACAACGAACTACAATCACATTTTGATAAAAAAATGCCAAAACGCGCCGTCCTCCGAGCTGGACACATTACATTGGTCTCTATCCGCAGCCGGAGAAGAAACGAGTGCTCAGGGACCGTCTGCAAAGTGCAACTCCCCAAAAAGAGAATACAATAATATTCAATCACTATTATACAGCTTATTCCTACCAAACTCACTACACACATCAATAGTCTCCTGTGTGTCATACTACATCAAGGAGTTTGGAAGAATATGCTTTTGAATAATTTTGGGGAATATTTATAATGTAAAATCTTCAATAAATATGTCATCATCTTCAATAACTTTACTATTATACAGTATATTTCTACCAAACTCACTATTTGCATTGTTGTTGTTAGCATCTGGTTAGCTATTTAACGGATATTAAAACCTGTTTCTAAAACAATGAGAGGGAGAGCTCTCTGTCCTGTCAGACTGAGAGATAAATACAGCTCAGTGAGGTAAGGGACTCTCTGTTTAGATAGTTAACTTTAGTCTAGTTATCTCAGTGGGTCTCAAACGTTTTGGTAAACATTGATGAGAATAAATGAAAAACAGTTATGAAATACTATATGACAGTAAAACAAGAATACAGTTTACAAGGTGAGTGATTTGTAAAATATCCATAAAGAAAAAGAAAATCTGTTTACAGTTCTGTTTCATATGGGTGTTGAGAGATGTATCCTTAAATTAATTTTGCTCTCAAAATGCACCAGGTTGATGCATTTAACTTCAATATTTAAAAAAAAAATCTTCCCGGGGGAGCATGCCCCCGGACCCCCCGGATGTAATGACCCCCCCCACTTATAAAATAGCACTTTACCTCTGCTTACACTTATATGCCATGAGCTGATTATCGAGCCTTCATTGTAGGAGTCGCGGGTACACTGTGTATGTACGTATTCCACTGTAGCGCGGTACATTAATGGGAAACCCTAGTTTGTACATGTTCAATACGTTTGTAACACTGTACACATGAATGTTTCTTTTTTCGGTTCACCAAAAATGCATATGTTTGTTTTGAAAACAAAGCCAAGCTAAATATTATGTGTTTAAAACACACACAGCCTGCTGACAACCAACAACAAAGTTGAAAACACTCTTTGCAAGGTAAATTGGGCAGGTATTGCCAGGTAAGCTACCTTGAGTTGCTACATGGTAAAGTCATCGCACAATAAGAAAAGGTTTATTTGAAATGAACTTTTCACTTTGATGTAATCTCGTACCATTTCTTGATCAAGAACATAATGGCACCGCTGCTGACTCAATCATGAAACTGTTTGTGCTCACCCCTCCTTTAGAGAAGTCTTACCTTGGTTAGGAAAAGCAACTGAAGGCATAACTTCCATAAAAGGACACAGTTTAATACTGCTTTAGAAAGTTCTTGTAGGAGAAAGGAATTGAAACCACAGAATGATTTCCCTGTTTTAACAGATTTGCTGACGTTTAAACTAGTTGCAGGTTCTTGCATGCTTGCTGTGTAATTGAGAAATGGCTATTGGCAGTCGTCTTAGGCATGATTGTGTCTTCTAGCATTCTGTATGTAAATACTGGACCAAATTGTGATAGTCAATACACACTGATAAGATTACAAGTAAGCTAATGGTTCCTTTTTAAAGGGCTAGTTGAGCGGCATGGATGCTTGTTTACATGGGAGTCTTGAACCAGGCCTTACATTTTGAAGGACATGATTTATTATCTGTAAGAGTCCTTGAACAAACACTGATTTGCAAATAGAGGAGTGCTGTTCTAGCCTTGACCTCTGACCTCCCTGTTGAAGGGGGCAACATGGAAGAGGAGCAACCCATGGGGGGCAAATAATCCCACCCCTATCTTATCAGGTTAAATAGCATGCATTTGTCATTGAGTTGTGTGGCTTGCTTTGACAAACAAGCGTCCTGTTTGCAGAGAAACTCATTTTGGTGACCTTATCCTGTATTATAGATTAGCCTACAGGCCAAGATAAACACTGTTTTCATGATTACTCACATTATGTCACATGTTAATTTGATATTTAAAACAATAAAGTATGCCAGCATCTGTGGCCCAAACGTTAACCAGCAGTAAAAGACTGGTATTATTCTACCAGTAAATGTGTCTACTCTGCAGGAAACCACAGTCAAATGCCACCTTTTCTTTTCTTTTTAAATGCCAGTTATTTGAAAAACTGGATGCCCAGGACATGCTGGCAGCACCTAGCCTGTGGATAACCCTCCTTACCTCTCATTGGCAAGAAAGATGAATGGAGAGACTGACTAGCCTCGTGAATTTCCAGTGCGGTTCATGCTGTTATTTTCCAACACTTCTGCTGGTTACTTTCACAGCAAGGCTTCTATTAGACGGTTGAAGGACCGACTCAGCTTTGAAAACAAACATCATATGTAGCACTTGTGACTAAAAAGAGATCAGATATATACTCTGTAGCGCATTCCTTGCATTTGTAGGAAAAATTACTTTTTGACAGGACAGAGAAATAGTAGTTGGCAAAACTACAACAATGACGAAGCTTTCTTTTGCTGCCTTAAACGGAGAATTGTTGTGTGTGTGTGTGTGTTCTACTGGAGCACAGTTTGAACAGCACCTGATGTTTTAATTTGACTTAAGATCAAGCTGGTTTACAGGTCAAAGTTTACAAGGTGGCTTATACGTTTCTTCAGTTATAATATTTCGATGACAACAGAATTATGATGTCATTGTTTCACCTTTTATATCCTATGTTGTCATTAAAAAGAGCTGTAGGTGACAGATGGACTTACAACTTGAAACTGAGTGTTGAATAACTGTAGAAACCTGTAGTTGTAAGTTGCGTGCTGTGGTGGTAACTCTTTGTTCTTTTTTGATCCACAGAAAAGGAATTAAACACTAAATGTATTGTGGAGATGGAAAATAACCAAACGATACTCCATCCGGGCGGAGCTAACCTGGGCAAAGCAGACTCCAGGTACGTTTCAGTAGCTTGACTACAACCTGACAACAAAGATTCACGTCATACATGTCTTATTTCACACGTTATTGTCTATAATTGTACAAACATGTTTTATTCATAAGGTAAAGTGTATTGTAGTTTACATCTTATGCAGCACTGATCAAGAAAATAATACTGAGAGATGTGAGGTACTGACACTTTGAGGTGACAGGATCACGCATGTCTTCTGAAATCAATGGCAAGCTAGTAACTGCAGTTTCTCCCTCTAATAACACACAGATGAGCAAAATAAATAGCCTTTTGAACCTTAAAGCATGGAGACTTGTCACAGTAGAGGCACAACATACATGAGGATAGTAGGGCACCTTTTCAAATGTTATCTCTCCTCTGAGTCATAACTGAAATCAGAGAACACTGTCATGGTGCACATATTTATAGAATCATTAGAGCTTTCTGAGGATATTATTAATAGCTCCGTCATCCCTTTTATCTTCCATCTCAAATCAAGAACTTGCCGGAGAATCACATTTTTAAGATGTCTCTAGTGCTGATGTAATCCAGGGATATTTGTCTGTGCATGGGTATTTTGCAATCAGGAACTGCTTGTAGCCAATTCTGCATACTTTCAATTGTGAAAATTGTAGCATATACTCTCCAACTTCCTTTTTATTGCTCTCACACAGATCATCATTTTCTACAGCTGTTATATATTTGTTTGATCCATACTGTGCTGTGAGCAATGTTCATTACCTTGGGAATTTTCTTGTTTCCTATTTCCTGATTGCTACTTTTGAGAAGCTTGTCTCAGATTGGTTTTGGAATGTTCCTTTGTCGACGCAATGCCGTTTTTGGCAGGAAGCTGTTTCCCCGTTAGAGACAGGTGTAATTCAAATCAAACCACTTGACTTATTCCCCTTTGGATGTTGCTCCGATTCAGCCCTGTTAACCAGCTGCTGTCGGTGGGAAATGCAGTGGGGAGTGTTGAGTGTCTCTCAGGCATTAGGACGGATTAGATTTGGCCTGACAACGGAGAACAGAAATATGTGTTGGGGTGTCTGAGGGATGGAATGTTGCTGTAGGATCAGACCCAGCAGAAATGTTTCAAATATAACACCCGGCGGACCAACTGTGAAGTTAATCACTTCATCTGTAATGAAACCGCTGTAATAATTACAGCTGTTCAAAACACTTCAAAAATAGTAGGCCACACTTGATCACCGACCCGCCATCTGTGTGTGTGTGTGTGTGTGTGTGTGTGTGTGTGTGTGTGTGTGTGTGTGTGTGTGTGTGTGTGTGTGTGTGTGTGTGTGTGTGTGTGAGAGAGAGAGAGAAAGATGGCAGTGGCGAGACGGAGGCGGACAGAGACAATTACACATGAAAAGAAAGACTCCATTGCACTCCCGTCCTCCTTCACTTTGCCGGGTCGTCACTCCCAGCGCCCTGGCTTCCTCCTTTTTTCCTCAGCTCTTCCGTTGCCGTGGCAACACAGGGGGAGGTTAACTCCGGGTCGCCGCCAGTGACCGTGGAGCCCCTTCCTCGAGTGGGCAGACGATTGAAGCGGGGGGGAAAAACACTGGTTTACTCGAGCATCTGTCGACCATAAACTTTCCCGGTGACTTTTATGGAGGACAAAACAAGAGCGGAGCTGTAGTCTGTCTCCCCGTCTCTCGGTGACAAAGGAGCGAGGAGGCAGCCTGAGGACGGACTGACTGATGGCTGCCCTCAGCGTGCAGATGCTATTTTTATTTTGTTTGTTTGTTCCCCATTTTCCATATCCATACTGTTTGCATTGTAGGAATATCTTCCTCTCAGCTTTTACAGAGTGCTTTAAGTGCTTAACAGTTGAGACGGACTGGACCGGGTGTACCAAGGGAGTAAAGTTAGGATGATGCATGGTGTTTGCTTAGCTGGCTGGATTACCAGGATGTCCTTTGTTTCAATGTTGGGAGATATATCTCCCAAGAGAGAGTGAAGCTTCTTGACTGAATCCCAATTTGTTTCTTTATTTTTATCTTCAAAAGCCAACTGTGGATTTGCAAGATGATGCCTACATTATACTGACTGGCAAGATGACAGTATTGTCTTCAAAACAACAGAAAACTAGTTCTGTAATAGCATTTGAGGAATAACGTAGATAGGCAGAAATACATTGCATCATATTGAATGTTAAATCCCTTGTATTATTAGCTGTTGCCATTTGCAAATATTCACTTTAAATGAACTATATCTTAAAAAGATCTCTATTTCCTAGAATACCAACAACATGCTGCATCCTGTGCCACCTCCAAGATGCTTTTGATCAACTTGCCTCCATTGCATTGTCTGGTAGTTCTTTCATCCATCTTCATTTGAACCCATAAATAGCCATTCCTACTGTCCTTGCTCATACAATCTGAACATATCACAACTTTTTGACAAAGATTTCAAAGGGATTTGTTAGCATTAAAGTGCTTTAGTGCAGAAAAACAGTGACAATAGAAAAGCACAGTGTGGAACAGAAGATAGACAGGGCATTAGCACTCCAAACAACTCAACTCTGGGAAGGATATCCTGGGTCAGAGGTCATGTGACCCTGCCACATAGATGGAACAGATAATCCTGGCCAACTTTTAGCTGCCACATCAACCAGCAAGGCGCTGCGAGGCGAATCAAATGCATGCAAGCGCACATTCCTTGTGGATTACTTTGTAATGTGAAAGTTCACCTTGTGAAAGTCACACTTAAAGCTAAAGTCCTGTCTGAGCAAAACAAGCCCCTGTGCAGTGTTTTGGCATCCAATAAGCCTTTCAAATTCTCATATCTGCCACATGCTCAAGTTGGACTTCACTGGATTGTATTGCATTTCAATGTAGCTCCTTGCATTGTTAAATGCTGCCTCTTGTGATGCAGTGAAACCTTTCTCTTCACCCTCTCCTATGGAACCTTTACCTGCGACATGTATATGCACATTTTTAGCCGTAGACTCCTTATCCACAGTCTGACATGATATTCAGAGCAGCCAAGGATTAGTCCTGTTTGAAAATAGATGAAAGCTTTTCTGTTTCTCTCGGGCTGTGAGTAACAGTTTCCCATCCACATAATTCGTTACACCCATTGGGGTTCATCTGATATCTATCCACTCAATGGTTCACTGCAGCTCTCAAATAGAACTTTCCTCTGTAAGTGTCGATTGTCTCTGCTGTAGAGCCTACTCCTGAATAGTGAGTGGACTCTGGCTAGCTGCATGCACTACAGATTTCCATCAGCATCGATCGGATTTTTTGTTTTGAAGTTTTTGGACATATAGTGCCACATCTAAGCTATTTTCCCTTCCTTTTTTAAACTATACTTAAAAATAGACTGTGTAATTATCCTAAGAGGGTTAAAACGTTGTCTAATTAGCTTTTGAAAACTAATTTAAATTAAATAATATTGGACAGTGTTTGAAGGATGTGTAGATAGATTAAAAGGGTAAAAAACTTTCAAAGTCATGCATTAGTGAGGTTTAACTAAACATCCTGCTCTGAACATACGCTGTAGGTCTCATGTGGCTCTCTTGCCTTCCTAACTTCACATTCTCTTACTATACTTAGAAACCATTAGACCCTCTCGTTTACTGAGCCACGGGAGAGAAAATGCCACACACCATTGAGACAAGGCCATGTACAGGACTGTTTAAACAGACTTGAACAACCCTGACACACAATAGACCTTGTCCACCCAGTGTGTCTGCCTATTCATTGCCTCTCTACCACATGCTGTTACATTATCATTTAGCCTAAGCAGTAGGGCAAGAATATTTGAAATGATTTGAAATGGAAGATAAAAGGGATGATGGAGCTAATAATATCCTCAAAGTTATAATGATTCTAAAAATATGTGCAACATGACAGTGTTCTCAGATTTCAGTTGTGACTCAGAGGAGAAATAACATTTGAAATGGGGCCCTATTATCCTCATTTCCAGGTTCATATTTAAATGTTGTGTCTCTACTGTGACATGTCTCCATGCTTTAATGTTCAAAAAGCTCTTTATTGTTCTCATACTGCCTGTGCTGCAGCACCTCTTTTCACCCTCTGTCTGAAACCAGAGCCCAGTCTGCTCTGATTGGTTAGCTGGCCGGCTCTGTTGTGATTGGTCGACCACTTAGAGATGTCCCATCCCTTAGCCTATCACGTACAATGTGTTGGAGCGCTAGCCAATATAATTGTTACCAAGAAATGTCATCATGTTATGGAAGTAAACAAAGAGCCCAGCCATTAACATGCACTCAAATGTAACACACGAGTATAATAGGGCCCCTTTAACATGAGTTCTATTTAACATTCAGTTCCTTCCAGAAGCTTAACAATATAAGTTTGAGTGTTTGATGTCAAACAATGTTCACATTTGTACAAACTACTTTAATGAATGTTTATGTATCCTGACATCCGAATTAGGCCTGATTTACATCTGTTGTTTATCCAATCAAAACATCCATAGACAACTTTTGAATTCTCCCCTATGAGTCATTTGAAACTAGGCCCTCCCTTGCAGGTCATTTCCTTCTTTTATTTGTCTCCCTCCCATCTGTCAGTTCTGTGCTCTGCTGGTGTGTCTGATTCAGTTTTTCCAGCAGCAGTGCACTGGGCAGCAGGTCTCAAGTTCCTCACTCTGCCAGTCTCAGTGACTCACTGCGGTGTTGACATTATATCTTGTTTCATGAAGTTTGAGCATGTTGCTTTTTATAAGCAATGCTTACAGAGGATCACCAGGAAAACATCTAAGCTACGATTTACTAGCTCCCTATTCTTTCTGACAGCGATGGTAACATTTAGTTTTTGCTGTCTGGTATTTAGAATCCTTTGCTTTTGCACCCCTCCCTGAATGACTTGGTTACCACTAGAGATGTCCTAACCTCCAGAGTTTGAACTGCTGGACCATGGCACTTTGTTCTAGTCTGTCAGATAAGCAGACAGCTAACCTCCTGCAGCCGTGTTGTCAGACCCTACAGTTTGCACGATGACCGAAGGCTGTTTGCTTTAGATTGGTGAAGC